AGGGCGAGAGGAAAAGAGAGCGCTTCCGCTAATTTCTCCCGTGTTATTATCCAAAGTGAATGTAAACTTGAATAATGTACATCATTTGAATGTAATAATTAAGTTGATTGTTGTTTGTGGAAGCTCCAGTGAATGAGCCCCATTAACTGAGTTTTAAACATCACTTTAAATGGAAGATTTAAAGTGATGTTTAAATCTTCCATTTAGGCCCCGCCCACTCGATCGGATCGGCGATCGGTATCGGCCGATACTGATTCCGGCGATCGGTGATCGGCCCCGAAATTGGCGATCGGAGCATCCCTAGTTCACACGCATTCGATTCATTAACGTGTCCGTTCACACTAGACCGCTGGAAATGCTGGAAACGCTGTAGTACATATGCCAGGCCTGTAAGTGGCGCTGCTGCCGCCACAAAATACACCAAAAGCAGCGAAGAAGACCCCGGAGCATGGTTGTCATGGTTGCCCTTCTGTTTATTCTCCGCGGTGGAAGGCAGAGCGAAGCAAGGCAACGAAACTTAAAATAAGAAGCAGCATTTTATGTCACGCTATGCATGGGGCCACCTTGAAGGGGTTTCCCCGACATGTTGTTTCAGTAAATTAAAGGGTGTTTCATGTTGTCGTTGCTGAGGACCTTCTTAATACCTTGGAAAATGCCGTTTAATACTTTTTAATAGCCTTAATTTTCGCTAAATTGATTTATCAACTTTTAATACTTTTTAAGACCCCGCGGACACCCTGAGGAATCCCAAAGTCAAATTGAATTCATTTTAAAAGACCTCATCGCAACTTCGAGTTCTAAAACAGACAGTTGTTTTGGTTCTCACAACTCATTGTTTTATTATTGAATTTGATTAATACGCAGAGTGGCCTTCTAAGAGAAAAGTATTTTGAAGTTGCACACACACACACACCATTATCCAACATCAAAAGTGACACACAATATCATTTCAGTAGCACCCTTGCAGAAATAAGTAAAAAGTGTGAAATGTTGCTGCATGCTTCAAAGGGTTAAAATTATCGACCATCTTGTAGACACATGTAAAAATAAAAAGTAGTTCAAAATGAAATCTTAACAAAGGAATTCAAGAGTTTATGATAAGATAAATGTGGGGTCAAAAAAAGCATTTTCAATGGTTTTCAATGGGTCATTTTCTGCCACTAGGAACAAATGTGTCAGTTTTTGTGTAGCTTAGCCATTTTTGGCTAATTTAAGGAACTGAGACGACAATTCAAAATACAACTAAAAAAGAATATCCTCTGGCAAGTTTGAGCTATATTCATTCAACACAGCCAAAATGGCATGTAAATCAAAACCTCAATGGCAGAAAAATGTACCTAGGAACTCTTAAGGGTTAATAAAGAAAAACAAATGGACGGTAGATACACGGATCCCGTCCTCATCTACGCTCTTATTTTGTAAGGTAACTTCCGGTAGCAGAATATGAAAAAAACGTATTTTTTTGTTTCTGTTTAACCAGTTAAGCCCGAAGGTCCCCCCAGTGGACCCCTCCCACAGTTTTCCTGGAGCTATCAGCCAGAAAAGAGAAAGTAAACAACATCCGGTTTCAAAAATATTACAATAATTACGTCTTACCTTTTTTGATTTGTGATCAAAAGTTGTGTTCAACGGAATAAAAACGCATCTCAAGGTTAATCCAATGTCTTTGTGTCACGTATAATTTTTTACTGATAATCCATCGTCATATTTATGGCAATATACTCGGTATAAAGTATTGCCGTCCAGGCTTGCACTTTCAGATATGCTTCGTTTGCTTCTCTATTACGTCCGCTATGGTAATGTTTACGTAGATTTGGGAACTGCCCATTGATTCTATTGGTTCTGATGGTTAAGAAAAAGGTGTAAATCACACGAATCGACCAATGGGTTCCAGAGATATGGTCCTGCGTAAACTATAAAGAATGCCAGCCAGCTTAAGTACATTACGCAGCCGACTTCATTTATTGTTTACAACGTAACGAAGCAGGAAATGCAGCAGGACCCAGAGCGCACGGAGCACAGAGCGGACAGCAGATAACGGAATTGCAGTTTTATTGCTTATAGATTATCAGAACATTTCAAAGGGGACACAGCCCCATTGGATATTAACCTATGGATTAACTACATCATCGTTTTTATCGTTTTAATGCCATTGAAGACCAGTTTAGACCAGACAACGAGGAAGGTAAGTCATTGTTAGCCTAGCGCATTAGCGCTAGCGCCATTTGTTTTGATGTACGTTTTTGTTGATAACGTCGCGAATTTGTATCTTTCAGTGTTGGGCTGTTCAGGTGGGCACCGTTAGATTCTGTGTCTCCTTGCGATCATAAACAATGTGTTGGATGTGCAGCTAGGATAAGTAATAAGGGAGCGAGGAGTGATTTTCGGTGCTGTAATAGGTTAGCATTTTTCGCTCGGGGCTAATTCAGAGGCTCACTGTAAGAGTAAGCCTATGTTTTATTTTTTATTTTTTTTTTATTTTTTTTTTTTCACAACAGTTGTATTTGGATGGAATGAATACCTATAGTGATAATTCAAAGTAATAAAATGATTTTTACAGTGAAAAAGTTCAAATGGAACCGATGGTTCCCAAATTACCCAGAGGTGAGTCCGCTTAGACTTTATTTTTCTAAATCTCTCTAAAAAGGTCAAATTTCACTTGTTTTGCATCAATCTTGATACAGGGTACTTATTATATGTTATAGTTTGGATTCCTAAAGCTTTTAGTCTACTAACCCATCATGCAAGGGTGGTTTTCACTATAAGTAAAGGTTTTTTTTTTAGGTGGACATTAGAATTTACATGTTTTTACTATGTTCCATCTGAATTTACTTTAAAATAAAAACATCTATATTGATTCTGACACTTCTACATCCAACTCACAGATGTAACCTTGCTTTGAGAAAAATAATTATTAATTTACCCCTTTTAGAAGTGAAGATATATCATTTGTTGTGTTAGTGGCATTTTCGAGCCTGAAACCTGAAAAACAGGCTCAGGGCTTAACTGGTTAAGTGATTTTATTTTTTGTTTTGAGAAGTGTAAAATGAAAATCATCCAGTTTTTTAAGTTTAGTAAATTCCTTTTTGACCATGATAAAGAAAAAACGCCTTGTATTTCAATTTTGGTTTTTCAATATTAAAACCAAAATTAAATATCCAGTCGTTTTTGAATATCCTTTTGTGAAAAGAAAATCCAATAACCAAAACATACACTGACCAAGGCTCAGCCATCTTTACTTCTGCAGTCAGAGCTGATTTTTTTTTAGGTAACAGAAGTGCATACTGTATAAAGCAGATTCAGTGTCGACAGAGAGTGTTAATGTTATTTAATGCGACACCATAGTCTGGTGCTTGCTGTCATCCGACATCATTAAAACCATAAGTGTAAATTTGACTGCGAAAAAAGAAAACCTGATTTACGAGACGCGTTAAGACTGGTGCCTTTTCAATTAAAAGTTTATTTTTTAATTGATTAATTTACTTTTACCTCTAAATAACCAGGACATGGTTTTATAGACGTCTCACTGCATAAAAACACTTTTCTTCTATGTTAATGTTCACTTCTTTTCAGTGCAAGGAGGTCTCAGCAGTAATATCAGGGTTTCCCACACATAGACTATACTTGGGCGGGCCGCCCAGGTATATTAACGGCCGCCCAAGTATATTTCGCGACCCTTTTTTTTTTTTTTTTTTTTTTATATAACATTTTTTTTTAAGATTTTTTTTTTTATTCGTCCGTGACCACGACGCCATCTGCGATCGATTAACTTGTCGACAATGAGATACACTTTTAAAACTTGTTGAGAGAAAACTAGTCTTTGCTGCTGCCTCAAAGAGGAGCAGGGGGAGAGGATGGAGAGGGGGGAGAGGAGGGAGACAGGAGAGGCTGATTCAGGAGCACAGACACACTCACAACTATAAATGAACCAAAACTAAATTAATAAACAAGTTTCAGTGTTTTTTTCATATTGGAAATGGGATGTTATTGGTTATGGCCATGATTTTATGATTATTGAAATGTATACAGTTCTGTTAAATATAGGTGTTTCCATAGATCTAGTCTCTTTATTTTCCCCTCAAAATGCACCAGATTGATGCATTTAACTCCAAAATAAAAAATAAAATCTTACCGGGGGGGGCATGCCCCTGGACCCCCCTAGAGGATTTGAGGTCGACCCCCACTAAAAATCACATGGATAGGTTCCTAAATACATTAATAAATACATTTATTTTTTTAAATAGTAACCCATTTCCATATGTTCATGTGTGGGTAGTAGATTTAAACTATAGGGCTATCATTATGGACCCTGCCTGTACCTGTTCGCTCTGCCATCGCGTGAAGGGTCTGCTAACAAGCGACCAACAGAAAGGTTAATGTTGTTGCACGTCACCTCAACCCCCCCCCGCTACCACCACCCCCCAAAGTATATTTCAGATCTGTGGGAAACACTGGCAGTTAATGGACCAGCACCAGAGGCATTCCCATACACACAGGCGTTGGAGCTGTTCTTCATGAAATCCCAGAAGGATGAAGTGCTCTGACAAACAGTGCCATCTTTGCGCAAAATGATTATACAGGAATGAAAAGTCAATAAATAATGTTGTTAAAACTTTTTTTTTGCCACCACCCGCCCAAGTATATTTCATATCTGTGGGAAACACTGAATATACTGAACACCTCAATAAATAAATAAATAAACTCTCAACTGTGTTATGGGATTCATCTAAACTGACCTTCTACTATACCCATAAGAAAATAGCATTTGCAAGTAATTGAAAAGGAACCATTATAACTAAATGTCAGCATGTCACCCCAGAAGCCTAAAAAAAGGAAATCGTTATTTTATTTTGCTGCAGCTGTGTACACCCTGTTGTGGATCAAAGTACTCTGAAGTGCAGAGAAGCTGAAGTTTAGTGAAATTAGTTTTAGTCAGTGAGCAAAGAAGCTCAGTGCAGCAAGCTTTTCAAGGGAACCAAATCATCACAGAGTGGTCTCACCTCTCCAGTATCTCAGTGAGGAGCAGCAGACCCTGTATCGGCACATCCAGGTTGGTCAGCAGCAGAGCCTCGTTCAGACTGCGCACCAGAGACTCAATGCCTAACACACAAACACACACTCATAAATGTAATACAAGGCATGCGCACACACCAAAATCATCCATGTAAAACAAACGGTGACAGTGGTACATCTTTTCTAATTTACTGCGACACCGCGTATGCTGTAAAAATCTCGTGTTTGTTTTTTACTTAAAGCAAGAAGCTAGTAGCACGAAGATTGTATTGGTAAATTAAGTTTACACTGCAAGTGTCTCTTGCATATGCAGAACAATACTGCAGAAAGTGCAGCAGGATTCAAGCACTTTCGATATTTCATAATCCGATGGAAAGATCTTTAGCTTCCATTAGCTTTCCCTGCACCACTTGACATTTATTGCCGTTCATAAGGAATTTAAACTATTTGTTTTGCATTTATGTGATTACAAATAGGTTCTCTGACCTTGAAATACATCTGAAGGTTGATCGCACTAATTATATGTTGCTCTGGCTTAAAAAGCATCTGCTAAACAAAAGGTAGTGTAATAAAATGATTGCAAATGCCTAAAAAATGTAGTTTGAGGGTGGGGCTGTCAGTGTTTGAGAAATTAGAGCAGAGTTTTGTTTATATGCTGTCACATGACCAGTCTTTCCATTAATTATCCAATTGCAATTATTTTTAGATGTTAACTGATGTGCCATGAATCCCAAAATTAAAGTTGTACAGTGAGTATCGCATTCATAATTAACACACACACACACACATAAAGAACAGGAGCTGATGTGTTAAGCTGCCTCACCGTAGACAGAGTGACACTGGGAGAAGAAGAGTGGGTTGTATGTCAGTAACAACAGACAGCTGTAGGCTGACCACAGCAGCCCACTACTGCTGCTACCGGCCAGACGGTCGAACAGAAACTCTACAAGGGAAGAGAGATTGTGTGGGAGGTTATAGAAATGAAGTTAAGACAGAACAGGAAACGAACTGTAGAAAAAAAGTATAATGTTTCCTGCAATTTCAGCCTATGATAAACAAAAAATAATGGTAATTTCCTTTATGTGAGCAACATCATTTTATGAAACTCTGGGGCACGAGAGACACACCAACAGAGTCCCTACAGTGCTGAGGAGATGGCTTTATGAGCAGAGGAGAAGACAAACAAGCAGAAGGCAAAATACACACAGAGAGAGAGCGGCTAAATAACAAAAACATCGTTAACAAGACAAAAAGGAACGTACTGTAAAGGAAGGCATGGGAAAATCATTTTCAGAAGACAAATTAGAGAAGGGAACAGCTTGTACAGCTCGTATATCCCAGCGGTTTAGGGATGAGTCCTGAAACCCGGAAATTAATTAGCCTTTTACAAGCCCCCATGTGCGCCGGGCACTGAGGAAAATATTCGTTGTGTCCAAACAGCAGTACTGCAACTTCCGTATCAGTCCGTGATGTCACTGGGCCCAGAAAGACTTTTTCTCATTGACTAACATGGGGAAAGAGACGTCTGTAAATCGTTGGATAATTTTTTTTAACCAAATAAACTACCCAGTATGAACATTTGTATAGCCCTTATTAAAAACAGTAGGTCCACAAGTTGTAAAATGTGCTAATAACGTTATTCTGAGAGTTATTTTCCACTGCATTATGAACGAGCATCTGAGTGGGAGCTCGGGGGGCGGGGCTTAAGGGGCAACTCAACTGAGCATGCTCTATGAGCGCACATACCATGGATGTATTATAAAAACTGGATACAGCGTGGGAGGCGGGGCCTCGTTCATTCCTATGAGAGTTGCTCATTGGCGCATGAAGACAAAATGGCCCAACTTTTGAGAGAGCGAAACGTCACAAAAGTATTCATATAATCATATAATCCGTTCTTATTGTGCATCCATGGGTAAAGGTGAAACTCATGTAGTACTGAACACGTCACATGAACGTGCCGGGCGGCGCGGTCCCGTGGTTTAGATCCACGTTCATAATGCCGAGGAAAACAACTCAGAATAACGTTATTAGCACATTTTACAACTTGAGGACCGAATGTTTTTAATAAGGGCTATACAAATGTTCATACAGGGTAGTTTATTTAGTTTAAAAAAAATTATCCAACGATTTACAGACATCTCTTTCCCAATGTAAGTCAATGGGAAAAAGTCTTTCCGGGCCCAGCGACAGATACGGAAGTGTAGTATCGCCGTTTGGCCACAACTAATATTTTCCTCAGAGTCCGGCGCACTTCCTGGGGGCTTAGTTCTTCTGCTCTGACAGCTAGGCATGATGAGTAATCTGTGACGTTTCGCTCTCTCAAAGGTTGGGCTATTTTGTCCTCATGCGCCAATGAGCAGCTCTCATAGGAAAGAACGAGACCCCGCCTCCCACGCTGTATCCAGTTCTTATTATACATCCATGGCCTTTTAGCACTTCCAGATTTGTTGCTATAATCCAAAATCCATTGAAAACTCCCATTAGCTTTTTGTTCTGATCAAAAATATTTTTATTGCGTTTCGACAATGCATAAACAGTGTTTGTCATTTTGAGATGGTAAGCAAAATATATGCATACAAATGAGACGGTGGTCTGTACTGATTGAATGTACAAAGAGAAAAAAGAATGACAAAGAACACAAACAATTAATAACAACGACTAAAATAACCCCCTACATTCACTGCCAGTGAGCCATACACACGATTATTTATCAGGAACATTGTTAGATGAATATATATGCGTGTAATACATATGCACAAACATGCCATTAGCTTTTTGTTGATGCTAACTTGCAGGTCGGCCTACAAAAATAGACATAACTGCACCCTCACACTCTATAATTTGTGTGTGTGTGTGTGTGTGTGTGTGTGTGTGTGTGTGTGTGTGTGTGCGTGCGTGCGTGCGTGCGTGCGTGCGTGCGTGCGTGCGTGCGTGCGTGTGCTTATTACCAGGTACATCAGCCGTGATGAAGGGAGGGCTGCACTGACTGGGAGAATGAACCAGGACGGCTGCAATACACTTCGCACTGGTCGTCTGCAACGTCTCATCTCCACTCATCAGCAACTAGAAAACACATTATTATTATTAGACTCCCCCAGTCATCAAATATACAACATCATCATTCATACTTCCCCATATAACAGTAGTAGTATGTATTTACTAGGGCCGGGACTCGATTAAAAAAATTAATCTAATTAATTAGAGGCTTTGTAATTAATTAATCGAAATTAATCGCATTTTTAATCACATATACATATTTGACCTGAGAACAGTGAGAAGCAATTTTTTTCACATGGATTTTAGTATACCATTAGGCGCATTCACACCGCAGTACTTTTCCCACAAAGGTTCATGAGAACTTAGTTCATGAGAACTCTTTAGTTCTCATGAACTAAGTACAGATCGCGTTCACACCGGAATAAGTCCCTGGGGGTGGATTAGGCAAATGAAGCCGCTGACGTCACTTCTTCTTCTTCTGCTTTGGGTTTACTGGCAGGCCGCAAACCACTTCACGGCGTATACTGCCGCCCAAAGTCCCCGGCCGGAAGTCCCCGGAGTTGGGGACTGGCTTCAGTAGAAGCTGCTGGGAGTCCCAGCAGCCTTCCGAGTAAATCGCCAGAACGCCGACACCTCCTCATCTCCACCGCTCCCATGTTTTATTTTGTGTTGCCATAAGTTAGTCTCTCTGCGTTTCTGCGCTGGGCTAATGCTAATGCTAATAATGCTAATGCGAGGATAATAAAATGGCGGCTTCACAACACTTTTTGGGAGTTTTACGGGGCGTGGTTTGCAATCCGCCCAGCCAATCAGACATATAGCTCTTTTCTCACAAGAGAGCCGTACGAAAGTCCCTGCTCTCTAGCAGCTCTCTGCTCTCTAGCAGGGACTTTCGTGGGGGTAAAAAGGTTCTCATGAACTAATTTTAGTACCGGCTCTTTTTGGTGTGAACGCGATAAAAGAGGCTAACGTCCACGCTAGCTTCCACGCTAGCTGCTATATGTTTTGCATTGAGGTGATACTTGAGGCTTGATGTGCTGCGGTGATATGCGAATTCCTTTTTGCATAATTTGCACACAACCGTGCTCTTATCGACGCTTCCATCCGTCCGTTTTTTAAAACAACATTTCCCACTGTTGTTCACTGTGGTTTGTTGTTGTCTGAAGTCATGAACGTTAGTTGGTGCTCCAGTATAATCGGTACGCCTGAAACTCATCCAGTGAGAAACGTTCCGCGGTGCAAAAATAAGTGCGATTAAAATGCGTTAATTTTTTTAACGCGTTAATTTTTGTGTCATTAATTAATCTTAATTAACGCGTTAAAGTCCCGGCCCTAGTATTTACATATGCCAGCATTTTATTATTGCACCGTACCATATATGCGGCGAAGCCTGCGAGCTAGTTCAGGCAGTCAACTCGAGCACTTATGCTGCATTCATACATAACGACCCTTGCCACTCTACAGCCAACCAAACAGAGTCTCTTTAATATGCCGCTCTATTTAACCTGCCAGATCTCTCTCCATGCATTGCTTGCTGCTGCTATTGCTGCAGCTACTTCCACGTCGCTGCTGCTTGCCTGCCCCACCACCACCCCAGCTTCCACCCCAGCTTCCACCTGTAGGCTCGGGGATAGTTATTTAATCATCACTCATCGTGCTATGTATATCTATGGAGTGATGATGCCCGAGCCTAGACGCCAAACTCAACTATATGCTGCTTCTAATAAACATGTTAAAGAAACACGTGAGTTGTCTGACTGAAACTCTATTAGATTTGTATTCTATGAACGTGTGCTTCTTTATTTAATATGTTTAAATACTCATTAGGGCTGTACCCGAATATTCGACTATTCGAATATTCGTTCGTTGGCCAACTATTCGGGTTTCAATTTCATTATTCGGATATTCGTTTTTTTTTTAAATATTTTTTTTTTCCTAAATGTATGCTATCAATAAAGGCGAATTGCCATATTCTTATACTATATTTATACTTTTGAATTGCACTGTTAAAATGCGGAAATATATACAATCTCAGCCTGTGCTCCTGACATCGCGTTCACTCAGTCACGAATGCACACGGCACGCTTCACCTCGCTCCAACTCGTTTCACACGCCTGAACACAAAATGCCGAAGACTTCAGCTGTGTGGGACCATTTTAAATTGGACGACGGTAAGAAGAAGGCAGTGTGCCAAATATGCTACAAGAAACTTATTATTAAACTTATTATACATCCATGCAAGAAACTGGCCTACCACGGTGGCACAACAACTCTGAAAAGTCACCGGATGCTGTAAGTACTAGCCTAGCTTAGCTTAGCTGTTGTGAAGTTGCCGTGATGAAGCTGCTTTATCCGCCGTTTAAACAGTAACGTTACACATGATAAAAACGTGCACTTACTTTGCTTGGAAAATCATTGCAAGCAAGCAACCGAATTATTTTTTTATATTAGTTTTTCAATTTTATCCGAATAGTGAAAATAATAGGAGCAATGTGGAACATCTGGGGCTAAGGCAATTATTGGCATTCAGTTCGTTTATTTATTTTTCGTTCTTCATTTATTTAAATACTGTTTACTGTATCGGTAACAAGTGTTACCCTGTTAGGCCTATTGTTACGGCTATGTTATTAAAAGTATTGTTGTTATAACAGAAATATGTGTTTTGTATCTTCAGGTTGTAAAACGTTATAGACGGAATTTGGAACCAGATTTGGTCCCCGGGCGCTGCACTGCCGCTGGGTTACATGCAGAGGACACATTTCGTTTTAATGTATGCGAGTACTGAGACAATAAATACATATAAATCGTAATAGTATGCTCTTTCTGCGCTTCTGCTTAACAGCGTGTTGTCAGGTGTCTCGGAGCGTGTTATGAAACATTTTTTTTTTTTTAATGTTCTTAAAAAAAAAAAAATCTCTCCGCACCGAATATTCGAATATTCGGTGCTAATTACTACCGAATATCCGGAGCCCGAAAAATGGTATTCGGGATAGCCCTAATACTCATTGTATTTGCCCTTTATCTGCGCAGTCCCCTGTGCTGTAACAGTGTGAATGCCTTGCTGTGGGATGAATAGAGGATTTCTGAGTCTGGTTTAATTTATTTTTATGTCTGTATGTTGCATTGTTGGAGCCCGGGATTTAAAAAGTTTCATTACGCTGCAGTTGTTGACAATAAAGCCGTTTAATTTTTAAAACAAAGCATCCAATTTGTGTCCATTAAAAGTCATTATATTAAATCACATTTCTGTATGAGTAAGGCTTATTTGATCTATATATTAGAACTAACTAGGGACAAGTGAAGAAAAAGTCCCTGAATATGGATGCATTAGTTATTTATAGACACTTTCCATAAAACCTGAGAAAACTCAGTGTGCTGTTTATGGCATCGTTTTGTGCCAACAACAACACAATCCATCCTAGAAAAGTAAATTATTCCCATAAAAGGGAATTATCATATTAGCTAGGGAGTCGTTTGCTGCAGTTTGCGTGCTTTACTGCGTTGTTGTTGGTCGTAGCATCTGCAACAACATTTAATTAAAATTCCTCTTGCCTTCCAAGTTTCCCTAGAATTGCTTATAATTGAACCGGACATTCATTTGCTAGAATATACGTTAGAAAACATTAAAATAATAACGTTTTTGGCAGAAAACACATCTGGGTGATGGTAATCCTCACATAAAGCACTCACGTCATGAGCTGTGCTGTATTGTGAGTCATAACTGAGAAAATCTATCTAGATGTAATCTGCACATTGATTTCCCAGACTGAAGCACAAATATTTGTCCAGCGTAAACCCTCCCTGGATCCCTATTCAAAGGCACATAAATCCAGGATTAGAACTGCTTGTTATGATTATGGTCAGTGTCAGAATGTGGGTCTTGGGGACGGGGGCAGGGTGTTTGGACAGAGACCTTTTTCAGAATGAGAGGCAGAGGGGATTGGTCCGGGGACTGTTGCTCTTGGTTTTGGCTCAGGTTCTGCTCGTTGTTGGTACGGAGGTTCTGGTTCTCATGGTACGGGATCAGATCACCAGGGAGGCTCATCAGAACTGACACTGCCTCTTGGATCTGCAACAGCAGCCACAGCAGGTCTAACGAACCAAAGACAAGATGTAAAAACAGACAGATATTAATATTCTGCATTGTAAAATCCTTAATAATAAACTAGTGCAGGAATTAGTCTTAAAACCTGGAAGTGAGTTAGTATTTTAAGCATTTTCCAGTTTGCTTGACTCAACGGTTTTGTGAATAGTTATTTTGGTTAAATGCCAGAAATAAGTTCTGTGGTTAACACAATATGAAGAGATTTTTGTTCATTAAAACTAGAGACTAAATGAGGCTATTAAACTATACATGAAACTGGGATCTTGTTCATTTATAACAGAGATGTCAAACTCAAATACAGTGGGCCAAAATAAAAAAATCAGGACTAGTCGAGGGCCGGACTGCTTCAATGTTTATAGCAAAACTTATTGAAATGAACTTATTGCACATATTAAACCTGGAACTAACAAAGCTTAAATGATTGCCTATAAAAACAACATTAAATAATCAGTTGCATTCATTTCTTATGGCTCTATCTGCAGCTTTTCCAGAGTCAGTTCTTAGGATTACATTTTTCCACAGGCCAACAACAGCTTCAACAAAACTATTTCCCTCAAAGAGAAAACCAAACATGCCCTGCTGTCGTGAGAGAGAAAGTGCAGAAGGAAACTCAGGGTGTTTCTCAATGTCGAGTACGCTTGCTTGGTAGCACATGTCTTCCGAGTCACTTGCTTCAGAAGCGAGGCAAGAATACTTCCTGGCATTCGGAAAACGAAGAGTGGAACAGGCGAGCAAGGGTGCGTCATATGATTGGCTCAGGGGGGAGACATCTCTAAGCAGTTCACCAATCACAGTATAGCCGGCCAGCTAACCAATCAGAGCAGACTGGGCTCTGGTTTCAGACAGAGGGTGAAAAGAGGTGCTGTAGGGGCACACAATACTAATATGAAACCTGAAAATGAATATAAAATGTCCTCTTTAAGTTATTTTTGTTTCCATATATTTATTTTTCGCATCGTCTTTAACTCCTCTTTTAACACTCTTTTTCCTCATCCTTGTTCTATCCCAGGCAGCTGCTAAGTAAGGTCATGTTTCATACATGACACAGGGTTTCCCACACATAGACTTTACTTGGGCCGCCCAGGTATATTAACGTCCGCCAAAGTATATTTCGCGACCCATTTAGGTTTAATCTTTTGTTATCCGTCCGCGAGCATGACGCCATCCGCGATCGATTAACTACCCCTCCTGTACCTGTTCGCTCTGCTATCGCGTGAAGGATCTGCTTTAAGCGCTCCGCAGTAACTCCGCTGCGAGGCTCCGGCGAACAAGTATATTTCAGATCTGTGGGAAACAAACTCAATAGAAGATAGTTCCTTACGTTGTCACTAAACTAGTTGCTGTTGTGCTTAGCTCAAATGTTCTTTTTAATAACATCGCCCCCTTACCTTGGCTCGATAATTGTATTTTTTAAGCCATGCATTAGGGCTGTGCAATTAATCGTATTTTAATCGCAATTACGATTTTGGCCTGCCACAATTACGAAAACAACATAATCGAAAAAAAACGATTATTTTGCTTTGCTTGGTTGTGACAGTGCACTGCAACATATTTGATCTAATTTATTTTAGTCTAATTTATTTGTATTTATCATATTTACATATGTTTAGTAGCTTGTTGAAGTGCGCTCCAAAATATTTGTTGATCTTGTTTATTGGTATTTATTATTTTGATATTATTTATTAAATGTATCATTTATTTTTGTATTGGTTTTTCAGTTGAATTATACGTTCAGGGTAATCAACAGTTAAAAAGATACTGTTGAAATTATTATTTGTATTTGTTTCAAAGTTCAATAAATGGATGTTTTCAAAGTCAATGAATAATGGTATTTAATAATCGTGATATCAATCATTGACCAAAATAATCGTGATTATGATTTTTGCCATAATCGCACAGCCCTACCATGCATGCTGTAGTGATCCTACCAACTTCAAACCTTGAGAAGAGAGCATTTCAATCTCACTTAGTCTTTCTAGTGCTTTATAAATCTAAATGAGGCCAGGCGTGTTTCATCCGGGCCACTAATGATGCTCTCAAGTATACTTTACACCAAAATAAGGGGGGAAAAGTCCCAAAGCTCGCTCTTCAAACACTTATAGTCATGAAGGGAGTTCAAGAAGAATATATTCATAAAGAATAAACCCTGACTTTGCTCAGGATAGCAAAAAAAGTGACGTGTTTTTTTCCTCACCAACGCAGGTGTTGATGAGTTGGTTGGATCCGGCGTTGGCCAGTGTCTGCAGCAACAGGACACACACTCTGTCCCTGATGGCGGGGGGCAGGGATTGGGCTGCCAACCCCCCCGCTGTCCCAAACAGTTTGAGCCACACATGCAGGACCGAAGCCTTCAGCGCTTCATCCGGGTAAAGCAAGGCTGAGCAGAGCTGCTCCAGAAGGGGAACTGAGGGAGGGAGATGGGAGACAGATCAGCAAACAAACAGCAGAATAAAAACCACCAGACTCAGGAACAGTTTTATCCCACAGGCCATAGGACTGAGCTTTGCCCCAATAAACATTCCTGTTGTCATCTTGCAATCTACTTATTTATATAAATAGTAGGGCTGTCAAATGATTAACATTTTTAATCAGATTAATCACAGCTTAAAAATTAATTAATCATGATTAATCACCATTCGAACTATGTCCAAAATATGCCATTTATTTATGTATATTGTTGTGGGAATGGAAAGATAAATGAAAGAAGGCGGATATATCCATTTAACATACAGTATCCAGTGTTTCCCACAGATCTGAAATATACTTGGGCGGGTGGTGGCAGCGGGCGGGGGGGGGGTGCGCGAAAAAAAAAAAAAGTTTTCATTTTGTATAATCATTTTTGCGTAAAGATGGCACTCAAGGGCACACTAGTGGTGGTGTTCCTGGCGGGATTTGAACTCACAGCCTTCCGATCTTCAGCCCACCTCACTATCCATTCAGGGGTGCCCACACTTTTTTGGCTGGTGAGCTACTTTTGAAATGACCAGCTCACCGAGGTCTACCAACCAAAAATAAAATCCCAAATTGCAAGGGTTGCTGAATAACACGTTTTATTTATACATGGGATAATAGGGCTGCAACAAACGACTAATTTGATAATCGATTAATCTATCGATTAATGAAACGATTAATCGACTATTTGGACTATTACTGTATGCCTTGCACAATTTCTCAAACCCTCTTGTTTAGCCATCAACTTTTAGATTTAGCTTGAGGTTGTTTTAGGCATGTGGAAACTAACAATGAAGACAATAAAGATGAATACTTGATTCAAAAATACATATATTATTAAATTAACAAATTGTTTACAAAATTAACATTGCTTTTTATTTAAATTAAATAAATAATATTTCGCATCAAAAGAAACAACAATGTTTTAACAAATCCTATTAAATAATCTGATGACAGAACTGTGAACAGAATAGCTGAAACTTTAACAAAATAAAGAGTAACTCTGTTTCCTCTAATCATTAACCCATGTTTGTATCATTGAGTTAACTCCGTGTGTTGCTGCTAGCATACATAACACCTGACATGGAAACGTTACTCGTGGATGGAGCTGCAGAGCTGCTAGAAAGACAGTCGAACCCGGTGCATTCCTCCGTCTGAATGTGGAGCACTTTTGATAAATGTTTGACACATTGCTCGTGTTTCCGCCCTTACATGCTAAACACTCTTGGCAACGAGCATTGTCCACCTCAAGACGGGTAAAGTTGAACCACACCTTGGAGCGCTTCTCTCCGCCATCTCCTCCGTGTGTTGCTGCTTGTAGCAGCCGAGTGTGTGTAAACTGCCCCGCCCCCTCGCACACAGACGGGAGAGAGATCTCGTCTGGATTGGAAAGGTCAAAAATACACCGACCATAGACGCATTTGTTTGTCTTTTTGCATGTTAGAAACGAGTTGGTGACACTAAGACTGCGAGATAATGTTTGTGTAGCAATAATACATGACCTTTCTCAACTCGCTACTCGGAGGGAAGTCGCTGTCATATGCCTTGTGAACACTCCGATAATGCCTCTCCACGTTACCTTTCTTTGGCAGAGCGACGCTTGCTTTACAAATAAGGCAAATAACCTTTGAATGTGACATCACAAACAAATATTCTTCCTCCCATTCTGGGTGGAAGTGGTTTGTCTTTAGCTTCTTGCTCGGTCCCGCACTCATTTTGTTGTTTGTCTCTTGTTTGTCTCTTTAACTTAATTTGAGTTTTCCCGGCACTTGACTGATTTTGTATCGCTTTGCATTCTGGGTTAACAGACTGGAAAGCGATAGGTCGCTTTTTCTGTCAATCAAGTAAACTCCTGAATTAAGTGGCAGGGAGGCCAAGGGAGGAGGCATCAAAACCTGTTGTGTCTATTTTAACGGAGCTGGATTTTTTTTTTTTAAGAATGACTCGCGATCTACCAGCTTTGCCCCGCGGGCGACCGGTCGACCGCGGGCGACGTACTGGGCACCTCTGCATTAGATCAATCACTACCCTCTCAAATGGAAATATGTGTTTACATAAATGGTGACCACACCGTTTGAGACCCACTGAGAACTTAGACTAAGTTAACTATCTAAACACTCAGAGAGTCCTTTACCTCACCTGAGCTGAGGTTATCCCGAGCTTGAATGACACACAGAGACCAATCAAGGGCTTTGATTTATGATCTCTATAACAGTGGCCATGTTGGCAGGCCACATCATGTAGACAGCCAGTCACCCTGTGTGAGGCAGGCCACTTAACGAGGCGAGATCAGAGCAAGGGAGCGAGGGATCATTGTCCACAAGTTAATCGATTGCAGATGGCGTCGTGGTCACGGACGAATAAAAAAAAAAAAAAAAAAAAAAATGGGTCGTGAAATATACTTGGGCGGCCGTTAATATACCTGGGCGTCCCGCCCAAGTATAGTCTATGTGTGGGAAACCCTGGTATCTATGTTTATTATAACATTGTTCTGTGTGTCAAAATGAAAGACAGCCCACACACCTATCAATCATCAAACCGTGGGGTCTTAATTCATTACGTGTTGATTTCTATCAACGGGGGAGTACTTCAGGAAAGTCGACGGGGGGGGGGGGCGCTAGTGTAGTACTTTGTGACCACAGAGTGTGAACGTTGTGATCAGCTGTTTTAGCGCAGTTCTCCAGTGAAGGGGGGGAGTCTCCCTCCGCAGCCGGTTGGCGTAGTTTTGGCACAATTCCGTTGTACAGACCGACGTTAACAGCAGCCCTGTCTGTGCACACGGAGACCGAGTCTTTCGTCCGGTGATCTAACCGCCTTCTGGAAAAGCTTCACAAGTACGTACGTACGCAAATGCGCTTTGAGACACAAGTGACGGTACGCATTTCAGATTACGCATTTCAGATTACGCACATAACCTGTGTACCAGTTAGTGCACCCCTGTACTACAGCAAAAGTATTCTCCGTCGGGACTTCCTGCAACAACACCACGCCGTTATCTTGATTCTGATTGGCCAGAAGACATTATCAAAGATGTTCTATTAAGAAGACGATCACTACGTGACAAAAGTTTTCAAAACCGTTTCTGGTCTTCGGTATTTCCAGACAAGTGGCTACTGAAATCAATCTTACTAACTGCTGTCTGTGCAATTCTCGGCGAGAGTTGGCGGACTTTATTTTGCTTACTTTAACATCATTTTTCATGGTGGGGCTAAGCCATTTCTTGGTATGGGTGTAGCCTACCCCAGCCATACCCTGGCGCTGCCACTGGTGGGATGTATGGGACGGGCCATTCTGCACATGCGATAAATGCGTTAAATATTTTTAATGCAATTCATTCAAAAAATTAATTACCGCCGTTAACGCGATAATTTTGACAGCATTAATAAATAGTTATCACCGCAATTAACCGTATTTAATTTAGTCTTAACTTACATTATTTAATTTCATATTCTCTTGTACATATCATATTCTATTGACATGTATATAGACTTTTTGCCCTACTTTTTATTTTGTATTTTATTATATATGTTGCATTGTTGGAGGAGCTCAGGTCAGAAGAATTGCATTGGCATTTCTACACTGTAGTTTTGAGCATATGACAATACAACGTAATCATGAGGGGAAATTGGGTCGATGCAACCCGTACCGAAAACATATCTTACATATCATTTCAACAAATCAGGTAAAGTGAGTTTAATCTAGCTGTGTGTCTCACAGATACAAATATTTTAAGATAAGAGGGGGGCAGAAAAAGACACCCAGAAGAGCGTTAAAGGTAAAGTACTGTAACAATGAAAATGGAGCAAACAGACAATAGCAACATGAGTATGCATTGGAGGGGAAGTTGCCATGTGGAGGAGAGGATTGAAAATGGGCTATTGAAATAAATACACAGTAAAATGCTCGGCAGAGAGAGCGAGAAAAGGAGATTAACACAATTCTTAGGGGTAGGGTAGGAGTCTCTACATTGAGCGCAGCAGACAGGAGCCAGAAACTCATGGGCTGGTTACATTGGTGACACACTTTACCTCACATTGACTATATACAGTATTGATTGATTATCTTCCAACCATTTGGACGCAAACTTGCATTTCCCCATAACGATGTTGCTTAGCAACCGGCGTAAACGGAGCTTCGCACGCTATCAAGCAGTGATCGTGCGATGTCCTGTTCAGATGACGTCAAACCCAACGGGATGCCATCAATAAACTACACAGAATCACACTACACACCTACGCAATGATTACATTCAGGCAGACTGTAGAATACAACCTCTTTGGACAATTTATATACTTATTGAACACAAGCTACAAAATGTAATACCTTGCAAAATGCCGTTTAATACTTTTTAATAGCCTTCATTTTCGCTAAATTGATTTATCAACTTTTAATACTTTTTAAGACCCCGCGGACCCCCTGTATAAAGAGTCACAAAAAAGAAGGGAAACAAGAGAAAGATACAAGTAATACATGGACAGAGAGCAATAGAGTGGTCAAGGTATAACATATTTTTGGAATAATATAAAGCATGAAAAGCCTATTGCATTCTGGTTGCTGTAAAAAGCTATTTTTCTCTAGTCATTTAGCATCAAAAAAATATTAGCATCTTTCTACTTGATAGACAGCCCATTTATTGGAAAAGACCATCTGAAACACTACTACTGGCAAGACTAATTATATAGTACTTTTATATTATTTGTATGCATTAATATAAATAAATAATTAAATGAATACATTAAAAAGAACTGCAATAAAGTCAACAATGTATAAAACTAAGTGTGAATCCTAAAATCAGTGGCGGCTCCAGGGTATGGCTGGGGTAGGCTACAGCCATACCAAGAAATTGTTTAGCCCCACCATGAAAAATGATGTTAAAGCTAAAAAAAAGTCCGCCAACTCGCGCCGAGAATTGCACAGACAGCAGTTAGTAAGATTGATTTCAGTAGCCACTTG